GCTCCAGCCCCAGGGAGTGTGGGTTGAAGGTCACCATCCCATATTCCCATTGGGGCAGGAAAGCAGCCAAGTAAACACCTTCTTCTGCATTCTGTTCCTATTAAAAACTCAGCTTAAAACTGCAGGTCCTGATGTAAACATTTGGATTTTATTTGTGCAGAGGAAGCATATTTATTTATTAGAGGCCAAAGCAGTCTAGTTGCTCCTTAATACCAAGTGTTGCTTTTTCCTGAGGTTCCCAGCAGGGTGGGTGTGTACCACAGAGGCACGTATTTGATCCCAAGCTCTTTCTGTGCACCTCACATCACTCCACAGCCTCCTGTGTTCCAGCTCTATCAGATTTTATCTGTTTAATGATGTGTGAGAGCAATCCAGCACAGGAAGGACATGGAGCTGTTGAAGTGAGTCCAGAGGAGGCACCAAAATGTTGAGAGAATAGAGCAGCTTTGCTGGGATGAACAGCTGCGAGAATTGGGATTGTTCAGCCTGGAGAAGAGAAGCTTCAAGGTCACCTAACTGTGGCCTTCCAGTGCCTGAAGGAAACAGCAAGAAACATGGAGAGAGACTATTTACAAGGTCCTGGAGTGCCAGGATGAGGGGGAATAGCTTCCCACTACTCACCTGAGGAGAGGGTTAGATGGGATATTGGGAAGGAATTTTTCCCTGTGAGGGTGGTGAGGCCCTGGCATAGGGTGCCCAGAGAAGTTGTGGCTGCCCCTGGATCCCTGGAAGTGTGCAAGGGCTAGGTTGGACAGGGCTTGGAGCAATCTGGGCTAGTGGAAGGTGTCCCTGCCCATGGCAGGGAATGGAATGAGATGAGCTTTGAGGCCCCTTCTAACCCAAACCATTCTGGGATCTGTGATTCAGGCCTCCATAAGCCATTGCTCCTTGACAGGCAGCTCCTCATCCTTCCCCCCTTCCTACCTGGCAGCTGCACAGCCCTCACGGAGCAGCTGATCATGGATAACAGCTGAGGGGATGCAGGTGATGAGCAGATCTGATCAGAGCCCAGAGGTGTTTACTGTCTGCCAGGCATTTTTAGAGGAGAAATAGAGAACTGAGGATAGGCTGTTTTGGCAGGTCAAAGGGACAGGAAAGAGCTGCCAATAGTGCCACCATGGGATCTATCACTGTGATGATGTTTTGTGTGATGTCAGGGCAAAGAAGTCTGTGGCTTGTTCAGATTTTTCCCCTAAATTTATATAATCTTTTAAAAATTTCTGTTAAGGAGAAATCAATTGCTACTTCTCATTCAAACGAACTTTTCTATAACAACTCTCCTTTTTATCAATACACTTTTTAGGAAGAGGTTTTTACAGCATTCACCACTTTCCCCACCAGGCAGACCTATGAGAGCTGCCACTAAACTCTCTTAAGTTTCAATCTCCTCCTAAACTCCCCTTTTCATCTGCTCAACAATACTCTGATATTTCAGGGAGCTTCTGAGGAAGAGCAAAAGCAGAACCCCTGACATTAAGACCTATCACAAGGCCCCCTTGCTCTTTTCCTATGAATTACCCCAAAACTTATGTGACAACATTATAACAGCCACAATAACAAGTTTTCTGTCGTTTTAGCCACTTACTGCTCTCCTAGCTTTCAGAGTTCTGATTCTTTAGAACAACCAGTTTTAAATAAACTTCACCTCTAATCAAAACAAGTTTCAGCTGCCCACCCACGTCTGCAGTGTCTTTTCAAATCCAGTTTCCCATCTTCGGACAAAGAAATCTTCATTAACACCTTTTACTACAAGACATAACATAGGTGTGTGGTCAGAAGGCTTCAGTTTATTAAAAAAATGAGGATCTGCTTTTCAGAAACAGAACAACTACGATCATGCAAGTCTTGGACAAGCACAAGGCAGTCAGAACATGAAAGACAAAAGCTGCCCAACATGCTGGAGGAACTCAAGCAAACCAAGATTAAAAATCAAAATCAGTAAACTAAATCAGTGGTTTACAATGAACATTAAGTGCCAAACAGTAAAAAAAAAAAAAAAAAATTCTCCAGTGTTTGTGCCATCTCTCAGACTTTTAGTCTTATACAAAAGCTGAAAGGAAGCAATAAAATATTGTAAAAAATCATACAAATACACAAAACCCAGCTCAAGTAGAAAGAGCATTTTAACATGAAAATCAAGGTCAGATCACATCTACTCTTCCTCCAAGCACTTTCCATCTTTGTCAGGAGCCAGTGGTAGGGGCCAAGCTCTGTAAGGAGCATTATTTCAGAAGCATTAGCAGAAACTTACTCTGGTTTGAAAGGCTAACAAAAACCTTTCCCCAATGCCTATGTGACCCAATGACTTAGTTAGCCTCAGATAGCAGCTTGAGGCATCAGGACTGACACAGGCTTACTTTATCCTGAGTGCTCAGAGCCCAGATGCAGCTGCAGAGACATTCCTTCCAAGCCAGAAAGGCAACATTCCACACCAAGACATCCCTAGATGGTCCCTGCATGTCCTGGACCTCAAGGACCACACTTTTCTTTGGAAAGTTTCACCTGAGTTTCCACCTGACTAACTATAGGACAAAAAGCTTGTGCAGTTGAACGAGTACAGTTCTTACTTCTTCCAGAACTCACTGGGAAGCTGCAAACTGTTTTGGATGGGGAAACTCTGTGCTCTCTTCTCACCACCTTATTCTTACTCGGCCCAACAAACTCCAAGTTAAAGGGATGAAAGTTTTCCTGTGCTACAGCAAACGTTTTCTGTTTCACCAACAGGTACGATTCACTTAAAATCCTTTGTCTGCTTGTCCTGCAGGACAGTTTGGGGCTGATTCTTATAGGCTCCCCCTGGCAGTTTGAGAATACCTATATGTGATAAATGTGATTCGTGCTAATTAAGTTGTAACTATATTAACAAAATTGTATTTAGATCAATAGAAAACAATTGTTACAGAGTGAGGGGGGAGATGGGTGAGACAGGACAAAGGACCTCTTCCAGATGTTGGGAGTCGAAGAAGAAGGTTGGAAGAAAGTCAAATAAGAATAGTAGAAGGACGTAGGTCTAATAAGCAGCATCTAGAAATAGAGCTTCAACCTTGAAATGGGCAAAAATTGAATGATTCCAAGCATGGGACTTAATTAGAGTCATGTTATGGAAAACATCTGCACAGTCACACAGGGTGCCTGCGCTACCTGCAGGTCACACTTCGGTCATTGAGGAAGATGACGAGCCTTCATCGGAAATAAGACCCTCAAAAGGATGAGAGACCCCCTAACCCATTAGTAGAGCATGCACCGTGCAGTATAGT